CCTTACTCATTTTAAGGATTGTATTTTTAAAAAATCATTTTATTAGGGGCTCATACAACTCTTATCACAATCCATACATACATCAATTGTGTAAAACACATTTGTACATTCATTGCCCTCATCATTCTCAAAACGTTTGTTCTCCACCTAAGCCCCAGAATCAGCTCATTTTTCCCCTCCCTTCCCACTCTCTCCTCCCTCATGAACCCTTGATAATTTATAAATTATTATTTTGTCATATCTTGTCCTGTCCGACATCCCCCTTCACCCACTTTTCTGTTTTCCATCCCCCAGGGAGGAGATTACATGTAGGTCCTTGTAATCGGTTCCCCTTTTCTACCCCACCTTCCCTCCACTTAAGGATTGTATTGTTCTCCTTTCACTCCGTAAACCTTGGCTGAGTTTTAGCTGAGCTTGCGTGTGTGTCTCAATCAATTCTCATAGCAGCACTCTAAAATGACACTCTTCCCCGTCTTACAGATAAATTTGTCTTACAAATACGTTAACACTTGCCAAGGTCAGTCAGTGCATCAGTGGGTGTACATAAACTGTAACAGTAGCTTTACGATGAAATCCTGATCCAGAGCTGCAATTTCAAGCTCACTCGTCTTCACACTATCGCACCCCCAGTCCACCAATGCCCCACGTGTGTAATTCCATTATAAAAAGGAAGTGGAGCTAGATTCTCTCCAGAGTTCAAGTGATGCTGGGAAGGGGAGGAAAGGCCTTCTCCAACTTCGGCTTCCCGCTGCCTTTTGTTCTTTGTGCAAGTTAGAGTACGGCCTTAAAATGTTTTATAAATATTTTACCTTGTCATCTATCTGAAATATTCTTATCCACATGATTGAGTTCTCATCTGCTAAGTCTCCCAAATTACAAATCCTTGTCTCCTCATTCTCCCTTGCAACACATCCCTCCAGTTCCACCCAATGGCCATGAACTTCTTCCAGTTTACCTCAGAAATGTCTGAGTTGACCCCAACTCCATCTCCACAGCCTTAGTTCCTGTCCTCATTTCTTGCTTGTTGTTGTTACTTACCAGTTACTCACTGCCGTCTAGTGGCTTCCAACTCATAGGTCTCAAGTTGACGCATAGCTAGGCTATATAGAAGGGAGAGAAACCCTACTATGTCCCGGTCACCTTCACAATCATTATGTTTGAGCCCATTGTTGTAGCCACTGTCAGTCAATCTACTCGGGGGACCTGCCCCTCTGTGTTAGCCTGGGTATATTAGAGAAACAAATCCACAGAAACTCAAATGTATAAGACAGAGTTTTATACAAAAGGTAAGTGCACATCAAGAAAACATCCC